TTTCTTTTGTCATGACAATTAATTAGGGAAAAGAGGTGTTTTTGTGCCGTTCCAAAAATGAGATTGATGGTTGGGATCTGCTGCTCACCTTGAGGTAAACGACATCGACGGGTTTGGCGGGCGCTTCCCTGAGGCCACCCGCCCGGGAAGAGATCCGCTCGGAGGCGTCGCCGATGACCCGGGTGCCGCCATTCTCCGGCGGGGAGATGCCGTCCCGGGGGCGGATCTTGGAGTAGGAGAGCACGCCGTGGCGGAGGGAGAACCACCGGGACCGCCACCCCCGTCCATAATTGGTCCACTTGTAGAGGAACCCGGCGACGCCGACGTCATCGCCATTGGTCCGCGGCGGCCCGCCGCCGCCCCCCGGGGCATTGGTCGGCAGGTCGGGGGACTGGTCGCCGGCGACGCCGGGTCGATCGAGAACGATGCAGCAGAGGGGGTGCATCGCCCTCTGCGCGCTCATTGTCGATCACAATGCGATCCGATCACGATCCCGGTCGCATTGGATCAAGAGATCCCTAAACCTGCCGATTCTTGTGGTATAAGAGAAGGAAAGGGAGTGAGGTTGGCGTCAAGATAAAGAATTAAGGTTGAGAGATAGAGAGAGAGAGAGTGTGTGTGTGTGTGTGTGTGTGTGTGCGCGCTGTATAGTCTAAAAATACATATAAATATTAATTAAACAATAGGTGGAGAGGAGAAGAAGAGGAGAGACAGGAGGGAGAAGATGATTTGAAGAAGAGAAACGAGCCTGCGCTACTTGGTTTAAAGGGCTTTCTATTCATTTTATATTTATATTTATATGTATGAGTTCTTTGGGGCTGTTGATTTTATGGTGACATATTATTATTATTATTATTATTATTATTATTATTATTATTATTATTATTATTATTATCATATATATATATATAATAGTAAATTTTACTTTGAAGACAGTGTATAAAAGGATTAATATTTTTATATTTATATTTAAAATAAAAGAAAAAATAAGGAAGAAAACTGATGCAATGATCCACATGGAACCACCACATCCCAAGTCTGTCTATCTTCGATCTTTGGAGACTACACAATTTCGAACCTAATCCCTTTGTTATATATTTATGTTAAGATGCCTTGAGATTCAATCTCTTATCATCGCAGTAGAAATTATTTTATGTGAAAAATATAAGAATTTGTTGAGTAAATTATAAGCACAACATTACTTCAAGTAAAATATGGAACCCATTTTCACCCATCAACTTACGAGTCGATTAGATTGCTGACAAGTTTTCTCCAATAAGTTATTTATTTATTTATTTATATATGATTATCTAAAAAAATATTTTTTATATAAATTAATCCTTTCACGATTAAAGTTTCACAACTCACACTCCAAACTGAAAATAGAATTCGGATTATTCTTTTTCCTTCTCTTCTCGTTTATTGTCCTTTTTGCTTCTCTATCTTTTATTGCACGGTCGCATCCCTTTATCGATTCATGTCTTACATTTGAGTACAACGACAAATAGTAATTATATATGTATGTATACCAGAAACTGCATCTACAGCCTTACCTTTCACAGATAATTCAACACCCCGTAATATCTATGTCGACGTAAGTTTTTGGATTGATTAGGTAAACATAAACACAATATTTTAGAAACTTTAATGGATACATTTTATTGGTGAACCTTTATGCCGTGGTCGAGGTGTTAGAACGATTTGGTTCAATCCTGAATAAGCAAGGTTACTCATGCGGATGCTCGAGTGGTGGAAGTGAGTATCGGGTCGGGTTGGGTTCGAGCATCGTTTCTCGAGTGCGATTTCTCTCTTGATGAGTTGTTTACTTCTTCGTCGTTGGACTCCTGCACATATGTTGAAGTTGGGAGGGGGATTTTTTGACTTAACCTCTTCGAATGTTAAGTTATAACCGAGTGAAATAAAATAGAATTGAGTGTTTGAAGTCCCCCTCCATTAGTCAAGGGGTTGGACTTTTGTACCTACAAAGGGGTGGTCAGTCGTATATGGTCATTTAATGACTGTCAACTCCTCGAGAGAGTGGCTTGTACCCTACATACGAACATCGATCGACCCGTATGGGTCGACACCGTGCAACGCTGTCTCGAGTTTTGCGGAACGACTCCATGGTGTTTGGTGTCAATTTGTACTACATTGAACAACACGGAGGTCGTGTGGTCACCTCGTTTGAGTTCGAGGTGTCACGTCATGTTAGCCTAGTGATCCTTTATCGGCCTTGTCGTGGTTCCCTCTGCTACCACATGAATGGTGCTGAAATGTGCTATATCACCTATCAATCTTGGATGATTTAATTTGAGCATTAAAACTCGAATGACATCTAACTGACTTTATAAGATTATTTTTTTTCTCGAAAGAAAAATTATATTGCAAAACATTACGTCAAAGACTCGTAACATCAAAGCACAAAAACTAGGTTAGCTAAGGAGATCACTCCCCGCTCACAAAAAAAAAAAAAAAATCATAATTTTAAGGTTTTTTACAATCTCATTTTCCTCTCTATAAAAATGTAAGATCATGCAAATTATTATGTTGCTTGTTTAAGAGACTTATTTTTCAATGGACTTAAGATTAATAAATAAATTTAAGAGTAAGAAAATAAATGATTTTTTTAAAAAAATATTTTTCAAAAATTCTGCAGAGCTCACCAGATTTTCTCTATTTACAAAATCACCTTTATTTTGCTTCCCCTCATGTTCATAGTTTGAAGGATGTTTTGATATTAATAAAATAAAAAAAGATTTGTTTTGTTGTTGTAAGAAATTCAATTAATGAGGATGGTTTGCAAAAATGTTTTTTTTTTTCCTTAAGAATCTGTTTGTCCTATAAAATTACACGCGTGTATTTATGTTGACGAACTGCAGCAATCAAGAGCTAGTAATAATTGTGATGGACAACATGAAAGCTGAGGAGCACCGAGCTAAGGCAGTGGAATCGACTTAATTTTTCACTTGGTCGACGCTACTGTATCCAAAAGAATTGAGTTGTACACAAGGGGTTATGGGTGACGCTACTGTATACTTTTGGTTACTTCCATCTGTCTACGTTTCCTCATCTCTTCCTAAATATCCTCTTCTTTTTTTTCTTCAGATCAACTTCGTGAATGAATTATTGACATTAAAGCATACGTAATGTATTCACAGATTCAAAGGTAAACGACGAAGATAAAATTATCTGTACGAAATTTGAGAGCATCGATCTAATAAGTGGTATGTAGCATGAAAAATCACACCAACAACAACCATGGCTCATGATTTGATAGAGATCACACCAACAACCAACCGCACACACACACATGAGATGCAATGAACATTCATTAAACTAAACAAAACAGGACACCAACCAACGGGACGGGCCACCACGCCACGATTTCTCTTCTCCTCTTATTCCCCCTCTCTATATTTCTTCTCCCAGTTATTCCCCCTGCAGATAAATATCTTCTTCCGGGGGACCGCAGTGCTGATTGGTCGCAACATCGTATCGTGGGACCATTTTATTAGCAACGCGGACTGGGAGGTTAATCAAGTCAATAATAAATAGGTATTCTCATTTGGTTCAATAAATATCCCACCGGATTAAATTAGATGGGTGATCGAAAACGAACCGGCACCAACACCACGGGGATCATCAACACGCGTCGAGTGGAGACCGCTATCGATTGGACAGTTATGATCGGTCGATAATGCTAACAAATACGATAAAAATGATGACCTCCTCCACCGCTCCATGTATTTATTATTATTATTTTTTTTTTTGCGTCAATTTTGGTTATTAGTCACAGACCAAAAAAAAAAAAAAAAAGGTCTTCCCGAAGAGTCTGTCATGATGATGGTTACAGTGATACGAGGAGGTACACGTAGAATAGTCGTTGTTGTGGACCAGCAGGATATGTCGACCAAGCTTAATCCTCTTGTAATCCATTTGGAGGAGGTACGTCTCCCATTCTATTCCAAATATTTTAGAGATTTTGTGACTACTACTAATCGTTTATTCGGTTTCGATGACGTGGAACGAAACTCCAGACGGGCAACGTATGACCCACCAAAACGATCACCACGCAACCGCTTCATGGAGTGGCTCAAACCACTCCACGATTCATCGTCGCGCCAGACCCAAAACGGCATGGCGTGTCAAATCATAAATCATGCCCTTCACGTGCTCACTGCGTGGCCATAATTAGACTCTCTAATCATTAATTTGATGTGTTAAGTGTACGGTCGAGTGGAACTTGTAGACGTGGCGCTCGGTAGACTCTACGTTAATTTCTACAAAATATAATAAAATTCGACTTGACTCTTTTTTATTTCTGCAACCTCGCAGCATATGGTTGGTGGGTGCCTCTTAAAATGGGCTCGACTTGGTCGTTTAATTAGGTGGGTCTATTCGAGAAAGGTATTAGGTGGCCTTTAATTATTATTTGGTGGGCTAAATGTTGGGTTGGGTTGGATTGGGTTGATGATTATTTGACGGACCCAACCTCTAATCATTCATTATTTACCGTATAATAATTAATTCTGCCAAGCTTACTGCTGATTAATATTTTAATTAATAATTACCTTATTAATTTTTTTTTGGGAAGATAAAATAAATAAACTTGCCACGGTGATTCGACCAGAAAACTCGGGCCCGCAGGATGAGTGACGCCGCATGCTAACCTCGAGAGTATCGAATCCTTGGAAGCCTCTTTATTCAATTACATTACTGCCCTTCATGTGTTCATCAAATGCCAGTCGCGCCCACCGCGGCAGAAAAATTATCATTTCAAATTTAAGAATTTATCGTTAATCAACTTGATGTGGACAAGGCGGCTAAAAGAAGTTAATCCCGTTATCATAATTGACGGTGCTCCGTATATTACACTTGTCATGCCCCGATACAACGCGTGGGGGCAAGTTCGTCATTGCCTTAATCTTCCGGTCCCTCGCACATCGGAACTGAGCAAATAAATGCCCGCTCAAACCAACTGCTCCGAAAGCTCCGTCCGCCGAGTCAGTTTTGAGGAAGAGAAAATGTCCATCTCGATCGCCTCCTCTCCGTCCTCCGCCGCTCTCTTAACCAAGGTTCCATCTCCCTCTTCTTACGCTTTGCATCTTTCGTTTCTTCGTCTGTTCTCTCTGCTATCGATTTCAGTTTCCTTTGCGCCTGGTTTGGCCCGTTCTTGACCCCTCCGTGTGATCGATTAGGGTGGCAGTTGGACCGGTTCCGCCCGACCGCCTCCGAGCCTCTTGATCCGGCTTCAGCGTTCGTTACCGAGAGTTCGTGTGTTCGCTGGTAACGCTTCTCCCGCAGACACCGGTAGGTCACCGATTTGCTGTTGCTGTTTCACTGGGCTTGTTTTTGTGATTATTGGCGTTTCGATTGAATCCAAATGGTTTTGTATTTTCTGGGGTTCCAAGATCTGAGCAATGAGCTGGATGCCGTCTTGAGCTTCAGCGAGATCGTCCCTGATACCGTTGTCTTCGATGATTTTGAAAGGCATGACGGAATTCATTATTTATTTCATTTTGCCCCCCCTTTGTAGGTCGAGATTTTCTTCGCTACTAGTCATTTTGAATCTCCTGCAGGTTCCCCCCTACCGCTGCCACGGTTAGCTCTTCATTCCTCTTGGGACTTTGTAGCCTTCCTAACACCAAGTTCAAGGTGAGAAATGCTGGACTTATACGATATTGAAGTCTTGAATTGTTCCAAGACAAGGAGAAGATTGTGTTCTGCACAATAATGTGTGTACCTCTCGGTGGTAGAGTGCAATAGAGACAGCACTGGCTGATAGTGAATGCAACGGGAAAGAGAATTCTAGTGATCGTTTGTCCTGCTTCTCTAACAAGGTTTATTGTTGCGTTACTGCTTTAGATAAATGGTGTTTTTCTTTTTTTTGAGTTTCTTGCTTGCTTCAATCAAATTGTTTACTTGTGAACGAGCAGGCCTTAGTGAATGTGGGAGCTGACTTGGCCAGATTTGTCCCTGGGAGGGTTTCAACCGAAGTCGACGCTCGCTTAGCGTATGATACACGAGGCATCATCCGAAAGGTATGGTGAAATATCTTGAATTTGTGGCACTGCCGAATCACTTCAAATTGGTGAGGCAAAATCCTTCCTGCTTTCTTCTGAGGCGCTTCGATCCTTGAATTTTAAATAGCTTGGCACATCAGCAAATTTTGTCCCAATCACCCTAACATTTTGCAACTTGAACTATACTTGAATTGTTCCCTAAAATAATCTGATACAGACACTAGAATTTCAGGTTATCCCTGTCAAACCTGCATTGTCGATAGCTGCTCTAATCAGATTTATTTTGATGCTTGCTATTTTTTTTTCTTGCCATATGATATTGGTACAATATACTGTTCAACTTGAACCACCCATTGCATCGATGCTTATTCATTTTTAAAAACTTGACTTTTTAAATAAAAGAAAAAGCAGTAAAATCAGTCAGATGCTTTCGTCCAGTAATTAGTGTCACCTTCTGATGGAAGTTTTCAGATAATATGATGATAATTTTGGTCTGCCTCCAAGATTTTGTTAAGTCTGAATTAGGGACACTTTCTTTTCTTTTTCCTAGTACTCTATAAAGAGCATGTCTGTCAGAATGTATTAGCTTTCTATAATGTCTTGAGTAAAAAGATAAGATGGCTCTTTCTTCCTCTCATCTAGACCCTTATCAAGAATGTTGGCCAGTTTTGCTTTGCAAAGGTTGCAGCAGATTTTCCCTTTCTAATTTGTAGCAATTAATATGTTTGTCTGTGTGTGCAGGGCATGACATCTCAGTTGTCACATTCAACTGAATTACTTTATATTTTTATCCATTTAAATTCTCTGGTTAATCATTTACTCTGATGTGATGTACTTATAATTTGTATTGGGAATTCCAGGTGCATGAGCTGTTAAAGTTATATAATGAAGTAGAGGTTTCTTCTCAACGTTTGCTTTTCAAAATTCCTTCAACATGGCAAGTAAGTACTAAAATTGAATGCATTACTTTAATTTTCATATCTTGAAATTCTGAAGATGCAAATGTTGTTTAATTTCTTTGTTCGATACGTTTCCTCTTGGATTAAAGCCTTTTCCTTGATTCAGGGTATAGAAGCTTCCAGGTTACTGGAATCAGAAGGAATACAAACACATTTAACATTTGTATACAGGTACATGCAATTGGCTAATAAATCATTTTTTAGTAACATTACTAGAATTTGTTAAAGAAAACCGTTGTTGAGGCCTATATATAGAATGAATGCTTTTGCCATGTAAAGTAGTTGTTTGATTGACTAAGATGCATCTTAAGCATTCATTTTGCATGAATAGGGTATTGGCAGTCATACTTGCAAGAAATTTACCATTTAGACCATCATACGTTATGTTTGTAATCATATTCATCATTGGTCGTCTGTCATGACGTATTTTTTACATAATTGATAATTTATGACTATGGTTTAAGCCTAATCATTGAGGGGTACCTTGGCGTTAGTTTCAAGTTGCACTGTTGCAACTTGGGGGCCTAAGTTTCCTGTCACACTCTAGATTTATAAAAAGAATAATAAAATCAGTATTTTATTATCTATAATTTACATAATAAACTCTCTTTTTTTTTTTTCCCATCATCTTTGAATTCAAATTTTTGCCTTTATAATAGTAAATGTCTTATTAACTAGAAATAGGATAACATCTTTTTGGTAGGATCACAAGTCTCTTTCACCCAAGCTTCAGATCTATTACAAAGTAGTAGATTACCCTAAAAATAAATATAAAATAAAAACATATCAGCAACCACACATGCTAATAAGAACCTCGAAAAAATCATAAAAATAATATTTAATATTCGTATAATATAAATAAATATCAATAATTCAATAAGAAATAATAATATATCGATTCATCATAAAACTTATGTATCAGAAAATTGATAATAATTTCTTACATAATAAACAAAATCATGTATCAGCCACATGCAACACATACATAATAACTAGATAACAAAGACGTACATCACACCCGATAGTGCACTCTTCCAATAGCGGATGAAGAGACATATTCCACGGGATAGATTCCTCCCAACAGTAGATGGAGGTAATCCATATTGCACTCCCAACAGCGGATGAAGGTAATCCATATCGCACTCCCAATAATGGATGGAGTGGTATCTCTTACCCGCCCAAGTGAGAACACATTCCTCCCAACAGCGGATGGAGAAATCATCTAACCATCACGTCTGATGGCCCGTTAATCCCGAAGGGAATCGCCATACCTACCATTGGCAAGAATACATAAACATCCATGATCATTCATTTACAATCATCTATTCACTCACGCATGCATCAATAAATCAATATGATTAAATATTATGAGAGACCATACTTGATGTAAATCTACTAGACTATGTTCATTAGTGGCTCTGCACTGTGATGGGCTCGCCACTCCTTTTATAGGTTGCACTTCCAATGTGAACTATTAGCCTAGTCATATCTACTATATGATAATAATCATATCAATATCACAAACTTAAGAAAGTAGAAAACCAGTAATATTTTCAAATAACATCTTCAGATAAAACCTTTAAATTCATCAAATCATAAATGTATGAAACATTAATCTCTCAATAGTCGTCAATCAACTAAAACCCTAATTGGAATAGCTCAATTGACTTAAACCAAACTCAATTCGATTATGATATAATGGAATCAACCTCAAATCCTTATAGAACCGGTCTGGAATTATCCTAGACTGGTCTAATTTAGATTTGATTGATCTCGATTAGGTCAAATAGGTTTGAACTAGTCAAGTTAGTATGGAATCACCCTAAACTGGCTTTAACCGATCAAATCTGATTTAGTTAATTAACGAGCTCAAACCAATAGAGAGAGAGAGAGAGGAAATTGGACTATGTCGTATAGTATTAACCCAAACCGAATCAACCCACCCGAGTCTTGGATGGGTCACATACGCTGCATATGTATGTTCCAAGTAATAAGTTGAGTTGAGATACAACTAGCTATACAAAAGGAGTGACAATATGTCTAATATGAATCGCATAGCTGGGTAGGCTTAACTTCATGGACTAGGCTAAGCCTCACTTATAAGTTGGGCGGAGCCTTACCATTTGTTGCGGGGGGCAACTGTTTAAGCCGTGGCCTCGGGGCCGTCGCGGCTTGGTTCGGGTCCGGAAGTGGGGAGATCTCGGGCGGCGTCCCTCGGGGTCTCCCGGCGGCCGAGCACGGGGGTTCGGGTCGGGAGGAAGCTCAGCCGCAGCGTCGGGAAGGGGCGATCCCGTCCTTCGCACCTGCACACAGGTCGGGCCAGGAGCTCGGCCCGACCCCTCCGACGATCAAGTCAGCGATGTGGAGGGGATTTCAAGAGAAGAAGTGTTTTGGAGTGTGTCCCCGTAGGGGTTGTGCGTATCCCCCTCCCTCTCCTTTCGCATGCACGGGTATTTATAGGGAAGCTTACTGTGCTTGAGCTGCCTGCTTGCAGGGGGCAGGCTGGTACTCCTGACAGTAGCAATGACGTAGCGTGTTGGACTTGGGTTTTGCAGGATATTAATATGCCTCGGTCAGCGTTCTGATCAATTCCGAGGTGCGTGACGTCATCTGGAGCAACTGACATTGTCCTGAGACTGATTGCCATTTTTACCCTTA